ACAAAATTCATAGCAGCTTATGCAGCTCTAGAACTTGTCAAGTCAAGATGGACAGATCGTCATCTACCACCACAGAGTCTCTCCGAGACAGAGCGACCGTCGCTGACGACCGTTGCCGCTTGGAAAAGGTACAGGCTCAAAAGGAACCGTGGACACGTTGGCAGCTGAAGGACAGGCTCTCCAAGCTGGTCTAGGTTCCGTTCACTGGCACAGACTTCTCTTCCTCGAGGCTTTCCATGGCATGCTTTCGGCAAGTGATTGGAGGGCTGCCGCACGTAGGATTCCGTTTCTAGCAGCTGTAGATTCGAAATCCCTTTTCGAAGCAGTCAGCAAGTGCGCAAGCGCTACGACTTATGTTAGCGATAAGAGGACTGCAATTGATTTGTCTGTCATTAAGACAGACTTGAGTGAGACCTTTGGCAAAATCAGATGGCTCAACACTCGTGCTATGATTTCTGATCCTTTGATGAAGCCGCATCCCGGGGCATACCTGAGGAATGTCATTGAACAGGGGATGTGGTCCATAATGGAAGAGGGTCACGCGCTGCAGGCTAAGGCGTTAGAACGCCAGCTGAAGCAGCCTTCTGAAAGCTTCTTTTTCACTGTTTGGGAAATTGAATTTTGACCGGTGTGTTTCTGTTTGGTTTTTCCCGTTTTCCAAACAGTGCAAGCGTGTTGCCAGGTTCTGCAAGAACAGAACATCCGTGGCTCAAGCAGCGACAAGCGGAGAAGAAAGAGCCAAGGGCTTAGACTTTTTGCTGCCACAGTGTCCTAAGTGGACACACTAGGAAAGCTACGCCTCAGGTATCCTTAAGGGGACCCATATAAGGGCGACCCGTACCTAAACACATCTCTGAGGCCCCCTTTGATTAAGATCCCATATGGTTTCCTGATATAGGGCCTCCCATATACGGGATCCCCTCCAGACTTGCTTAAACCCTGAACCCTAAACGTTAAAACGCCTAAGCCCTAAAAACCTAAACTGATTATTGTGCGGTTCCCAGCTGGTATCTGAGAGCTGCGCTGGGCTTCTCACGTGCAAGCCTTCAGACACGAACGCGATTTTGGTGACTTTGATGGGCATATAGGTATCGAATTAGGGGTTAGATAACGATTGTAGAGGATTCTGTGCGGTTTATCCTGGGTGATGAGGGGACCTCGTTGTACTTATGGCAACCCCAATGCCTATACCAAGGATCCTGGGAGAATGAAAAAATTGCGACTGAGTTCTGATTGGGATGACAAAAACCCCCTGATTATGAGAGGCAGAGGAGGCAATTGCACCAAAACTCCATGCAGAACCCTAGCATAGGAAACCGATGCGAGGAACCCTAAACCCTAAACCCTCCGCTTGCCATGCGCCAGGCACCCGGGCAGGGCACGTGGGACTGCAGATTCCGGCACCGCCTGCTCTGCAAAACGGAAGGGTCTACGGTGTAGGCTTAGGGTGCACGAGAGCCCTGTGCTTGGGGGTTACTAAAAATTCGGAGTCCCTTTGTGGGTATACTTTTGATAAGAGCAATGGTACATTTAGGTATGTATGGGTTCCCCCCTGTTTTTGGAAACTCCAACAATTACTGTTAAGATTCTTATGAATATGACTATTGGTACGATTATTCCTCTTACGACTATTCTTACTATGAGTTTTACTACTAGTATTGCACGTGGCTACGAGGGCCGTGCCGCAAGCTTCCGTCTCTGAGCGTCACCGCCCCCATACCTTGGCAAGCAGCTGCAAAAATGTTGGTCCCTAGGGTTTTGGGCTTAGGGTTTTGGGTCTAGGGTTGATGGTTTGGGGTTCAGGGTTTTAGGGTTTAGGGTTTGGGGTTCAGGGTTTGGGGTTTGGGCCATTCTTTCCTGGGCGGTACTTGTAATTTGAAGATACAAGGCCCCCCAATATTACCTATCAATAGGGTCTCTTCTACAACGTAAGAAGCAATACTTACCCGAAGGCAGCACCTAGTCCAGCATGATCTTTGACCTATCAATAGGGTCTCTTCTACAACAAGACGGAAGAAACAATACTTATGCGAAGGCAGCACCTAGTCCAGCATGATCTTTGCCCCAAAGCCCTGCACCCTAAACTTGGGTCCTGCCCCCGCCCATTAACACTCTTTAATAGGGGTCATATTACGGGCTATACATACTTATAATATGAGCATTATCTAACTGTTAATGAGTGGGGGCAGTACCCAACCCTAAACCGCTTTACTTTCTTGCAAAGATGCGCATGCGGAGAGCCCAGGCTTGTCTAGCTACTTTCAGAAGCTCTACAGGAACTTTACACAGTTGGGTTGAGGGTTTAGGGTTGCGGGACTCCATACATGGGTATTCAGAGACTATATGGGGCTCTAGGGAGCCTTTCGGAAGCTTTAGGGAAGTCTTTAGTCAAATAGACCCCTGCTGTATGGCCCCCCATTTGATCAGGGGGCTCACGAAGTGGGATGAAGGTAGGTGGGTAATAGGATCCTTGGTATGTGCTCTACTATATTGAGGCTTATTTCCTATACCCCACCTTCCTTCATCCCACCTTTTGAGCCCTATGATGTAGGGATTACTTGAGTACCCTCAGGTCAGCTGCCAGTAACCAAGCTTCCAGCTTCGCGAATATTCGCTGCAGAGCAGCACGAGAGTGCACAGCAGTACCTGCTGGTAGTTTTCCAGAAGGGTGTTCACGGTTCGGGGTTTGGGTGCATAAGTAGGAGGCCCCAAGTACAGACCCCGGTATACTCTCATCCTTACTATACCTGGCCTCCCAAAAAGGAAACCGAAAGTCGTTGAAACCCCAAACCCTACTCCCATTCTGCAGGATAGCTGGAAGTGACCCCCGCACACTCCAGACACACCTGGGAGGTGCTATCCTAAACCCTAAACCTTTAAGGGTCCAATGAAGAGCTATCCATGAGTCGCTAACACGTGAGTCTTGCGTTTCGCTGGTTGAAGCCACTAAGATGACATCCTTCATTAGAAGTACTGGACGATACCCAAAAAGAAAAGGTGATCTTACTTATGTGGGACTGTAATTTTCTCTTTAAAGCTACGCCCGCGTAGTATGCATGATACGCAGCGCAGAAACCCCTAAACCCTGGGCCCTGAATCCTACACCCTAAGCCCTTAACCCTAAACCCTTGACCCCAAACCCTTTGCCCTTAGTCCTAAACCTGACTTCAAGCCAACAACGCGAAGAGCCGCCTGCGGCCTGATCTGCCTTCGTTTCCTGAAACTCTCTGATTGCTGCATGAATGCTGGAGGTTTAGGGGTTCAGGGGTTCGGGGGTTTTGGGCTGAGTTGCTTGAAAGCAAAAATGAGCGTCAAACGTGGTGAGAAAATCACATTAAAGGGGGTATAAATCAAAGCGGCCGGAAAAGATAGAAACCAACCATGTCGAGCAAACCCTAAACCCTAAGCCTTAACCCTAAACCCCTTTTTTTGGCAAAGGGAAAGCACTTGCTGGTTGTTGTTCGTGTGGAATGGAGGTGTGAATCCCTTTAGTAGCCATAGCACTTACATATTCCATGTCTGGTCCACATATGATCTATAGTCTAAACTCCAAGTCCTAGTATCTCCCTTATTACCCCCTTTTCATACTCCCCTAGATGATCCCCTATATAACCCCCTTGAAATAGTTTAGACTATAGCTCATAAGATACCCCTTACTTTTTCCATTACGTCTTCCTCTAGTAACAACCTGGGAGTGGAGCCGTTGGGTTTAGGCATGCATTGCTCCCACTCCCCTGCCGCCACGGCGCCCGCGGACTTGGTGGTGGGGCTGCTGCACCTTCCGACCTTACAAGCAAGCCAAACACTGTTTTGGGGGTTCAGGGTTTGGAGTCTAGACCCCCTGCCGCAACGCTCAGGCGCAGCGCAGGGAAAACCGGGAAACACCTTTCTAAGGAATGTAAAAACCCAGCTATAGGGAGCCCAATAAAGCATCAGGAATATTTGCTGTCAAGATCTGTTTACGGTTTTAGGGTTTGGGGTAAGTAAAACGTTGGAACCCCAGAAGGTAGACTCCTGGCTCAGGATCCTACAACAAACTCGCTCTTGGCCTCTCGGAGCATGGAATTTAAGACTACTTCGTCAATGAAGTGCATGAAGTCATGACATGTTCAACGATCATGAAAACCGTAAACCCTGAACCCTGCACCCTGAACCCTCGAAAAGAAAACCAAGCATCCTCTGAGAAGCAATACTTTCGGAACAACTCCATTCAGTTCTTACCTGCTCATGCAAAATTACGCGCGGCACCATGCCCTTGTGCAGTAACAGAACTCAACGATGATCGCTCAGAGTCCCTCAACCCTAAATCCGCCACCCTAACCTCACAAGCCTTTAACAGACTAAACCTTATGACCCGTATTCAATGCGTGATCTGCTCAACCAGAGGACATCTGAGCCCAAAACTCGGCCGCTGCCATGGGGTCAAAGTGCCAGGGTATAATTTAGGTGGACCCCCCCCTCCCTGTAATAGTGACTATAAGGGATACTGGTAATTATATTCAGGTCCTCTCATAGTCCTACTATATCACTATTAAAGGGCGGGGGGCTCCTAAGGTATTATGGTTATTAACAATAGCGAGCATTTTCGTATCATATAGCACCATCTGATATTTTGTAGTAGTGGTGATATTAAAGCCCTGGGAAGTAAAAGTCTTTGAGCTTGTTTGGGATTGGTGAGTTTAACGCGCTACGCTGTGGTCAATCGCTGCGTTTGCGGTTCTTTAGGCCTGGCCTCAAAACAACAACACGCGGTTTAGGGTTTAGGGCACATTGAACCAATGCTTTCACGTTGCGAACGTGGCGTGCATGCTTCCTTGAACTCAGCCAATTGCGACTCACAAATGCGAAGCAAACATCCGGACGGGACTTACAGCGGTCAATGGTCAGTTTGTCATCCATACTTCCTTAACGCCAACAACCAGCAGTTATGCGATCCAAGGTCGTGAAACAGACCATACTGACATGTTAGCATGCTTGCTGGTGTGCAAGCGGGGACGCACGTCATCTGCATCGTATGGCAGGCCGGAGACGTGCAACTCAATGACCTGCTTCAGATTCAGAAGGCTTCGCTCACGAAACGCAGGATGGCCAAAGGATTCGACGAGCTTGTCATAGGCTCAGCTGCCCTGTCTGTACAGCCCCATCTAACCCTGTTGTCATTCTGCACAACCCCTGGACGCAGTGGGGAAGCTCGAAGCGCATTGTGGGGCCTTTATGTAGTCGGATCAAGATGTGTAGCAACATCTGAGGTTCCGCCCGCTCACACCAACTGCTCTTAGACGCTGAAGCTTCAAGCGCATTTCAAGTCTGAATCTTGGGGTGTACTTTGAGGCACCCTGGAGTTTGATGATACCATATCATTAGAACTAGCCCCTGAATGAACCGATTATATTCCAGGACCAGTTGCAATTTTATGTAGTCGGGTCAAAACGTGTAGAAACCTCTGAGGTTTCGCCCGCTCACACCAGCTGCTCTTCGACGCTGAAATTGCTAGCGCATTACAAGTCTGAATCTCGGGGTGTACTTTAGGGCACCCCGGGGTTTGGTGATACCGTATAATCAGCGGCTAATTGGTGGGAGGGCGTCTAGAGAATTCTAGCATCTGCAGGAAGAAGCCCTATGTATCCTCAACAGCAAACATGGTCGGATTGATGAGGATCTATGTTTTGGCCCACTATTTCACAGATGCAACCCTTTACGAAGGCTGTATTGTTTAGGGGGTTTAGGGTTTAGGGTTCGGGGGGTTCCCCAACCCATTAGCAACCCCAGGGTCCCACAAAGTAGTGTCTAGCCATCCTTCTACCCGCCTTATCTGGCTGTCAATCTCCGCCTCTCGCTTGCCCTCCCCAAAAAACGTGAAACCGCACGAGGCGTGTTCTTATGGTAGATAGTCGTTGTGGGGCCCTTTTGTGGGGGTTCCACTCCCCAAACGGGCCCGGCATGATCCCGTGATTCCCAAATGAAACTCACGTCCCCAAAATCTTGCAACAACAGCCCTCAACCCAAAACATATAAAACCCGCGAGGCCTCCCAGTCTTTAATGTTTGTGGCAGTCTTGTAAAACTCCTCTGACTGGATCGTTGCGCGAAGGTGCGCCTGCACGTTGTAGGGTTTGGGACAGTAGGCTTCAGGGCTCAGGGTTCAGGGGTGTGGGGTTTGTTGGGGGTTCTGTGCAGAAGTCAGTTTAGGTGTTTGAGGAATTTAGTCTTGAGAATCGCTTTTGGTTCAGGGTGTAAGCGCAGAAGGCGTTGAGGCCCTTAAAGTCCTGATGATCTGGCTGTGGGTCGTATGTTCGAACAGTCTTAGTACAGGCGACGTGAACATTCTTCCCCACACCCTAAACCCATAGCTCCCCAAGCCTGTTGCAGCTCTTGCGGTTTCATGCCATCCTTGTACTTGATCTTCTCGGAGTTGTCATGGGTCACCTCGAGCGACGACGGAAATGATGGTGAAGATGATGACACGGACAGCGACAACTCAACCCCTGATGGAAAATCTCTTGCACGACTTTCTTTTCTAGACAACATTATACAGATGGACACACCATGTTCTCGGCGAGTCTGGGTCTGCAGGTGGAGTGATCTGGAAGAAAACTTGAACAAATCTTGGCTTGCGAGGCAAGGCGTAGGGATGTTCTCCATTGGCGTTCTTCTGCTTTCTTCAACCGGGATGACTCCCTGTAGCCCAGGACTGAGGGTTTGGGGTGACCCCTCCTAGAATTTGCTCCGCTGTTCGAAAAATTCTGCAGAAGTCATCTACAAACCAACCTGCACGAGCGAGGCTGTCCCTTGGGGATTACAATGAATCGTGTACAATCCTATGAAGAAGCTTTGCAAGGTTGTCTAATTTTCGTGTGAATTTGGCCATGGAGCCTCAACCAAATCCCTGGGTCACCCACATAAAGCCCTCTTCAGAGTCAGCTTCGTCGATATATAACCGCTGAAGCAGTTCATCCAATCCCCATGAATCCATTTCCCAAACCGCGAGCTGGGTACGCCCTAAACACGCAGTTTAGGGTTTAGAGCTCCCTAGACCCCTGGAAGGATCTAAAAATTAGATCCTCTATATAGATGCATTATAACCCCTATATAATCCTTATAGAATTTCCCGGATGGTTCTAGGGAACCTAATTTCTAGATCCCTTTGGGGGCCTGGGTCTGGCTACAAGATCCCCCTAAACCCTAAACCCCTAACCCCTAAACCCCTAATCCCGAAACCCGATCCCTTTTGGGTGCCTGGGTCAGGATAAACCTGCACCCTTAAAATGAGAAAACTGGCACAGGGAAAGTTGCAAGGTGTGCCCGGAAAAAGGACTTGCGGGGCCTAAAGCGTCTAGGGTTTTAGGTCTTTAGGGTTTTTAGAGGTTTAGGGGTTTAGAGTCTTACGGTTTTAAGGCTTTACGGGTCTAGGGTTTTAGGGTTTAGCGTTCAGAGTCCCAACTTCGTGCCGGAAGAAAACTACAGGCCTCGAGCCAAACCCGACCCAAACCTTGCATCTGCCGGGTCTCAAACGGTCTCAAGAGTCCCATCCGGCGCACTACCCTGAACCCTAAACCCTGAACCCTGAACCCTGAAGCCTAGACCTTGAACCGTAAACTCTGAACCCCTAAACCCTAAAACCCTGAACCCTAGAACCCTAAAACCCTAAAACCCTAACTCCTGATCCTAAGCCAAGTCTCGACCTTCTGGTCCCTGTCATTCGCAAGCTGGTAGCTGCTCTTGGAATGAATGCTTGGAGTTGAGATGCTGAACCCTAAACCCTATAGTGCCCTGAAGTAGGGTGTAGGGTTTAGGGTATAGTCCCCCTGAAGTAGATAGAATATGGCTTTGGGTATATTATAATCAGATCCACACATACGCCATATTCTATCTACTTAAGGGGGACTATACCCCAAACCCTAAACCCTAAATAGTAGTTTCCGTTTTTTTCCAAGAAAACCCTATAACCCCTACAACCCTAAACCCTAAACCGTAAACCCTTCTCACCTCACCGAGGCCATGGCCGCCTCCAGCTTGCCCGACCCCTGGAAGCTCCTCGCATCGATATCTCCGAAGATTCGCGCCTCTGGAGTTCTGGTACATATAGGGTATATAGTAGGTATGTAAGGATCCCAGGGTTAGGCCCATATCAGGGGCACATGGTTTCAACCCTTGATCTGGAAGATAGGATTCAGGGGTTTAGGTTTGAGAAGGTTTAGGGAAGTTTCATGGAACCTGGGGACGGGTTTAGGTTTCACGTAAGGTGTCTGGGAGCTGTCTGGGAGCTGAGGAGCAGGATTTTAGGGCGTTTGGGGGTGAGCGTCACGCGTTTAGGAGCTGGTCTACCACGTGTTCAATGTTAAGGGTAAGCATCATCGAATTGAGGCTTCCAGTCGATCTCGAGATGCTGCTGTAGTTGGATGCCGCCCCTGTCAGTCCCTAAATCCTGAATCCCAAGGTGGCCATCCCCCCCCCAAAAAAACAGACTGAAGCCCAATGAAAAGAATATTAGGAGCCAGCGATTCTAGGGCTTTGCACAGTACACATGGGGATACATACTAGTCAGTAGGGGTACATTCACGGTTCAAAGATTAGAGCTTCGCTCAATAGCCGTCATGGACAGAAGACTCAAGAACATGTCACCATGACAGTGGCAGCAAAACCTTGATTTAAGATTTAGGGGTTAGGGGCCCGATTACCACACTGCCTCCTCCCTAGGCCCTAAACCCTACATTCTTTCCTTCCTCCCCTCCCCAGTGGCCCCCAGTTAAATCGGCCATCACGCCCCCTCTTCGATGCAGCTTACATCCAAGCAGACCACGATGACCGCGAGTAATGATCACAAAAACCAACCTTGCCAACCTAGTCGCTATCCTCTCCCCAAACCCTAAATCCTAAAACCTAAGCCCCTAAACTCCCTAAACCTTCAGAACTTAAACCCTAAATCCTAAACCCTAAATCCTACACCGTAAGCCCCAGGCCCTAAATCCTGAACCCTAAACACCCAAAGCCAGGAACAGGTCAGACAGCTTCAGCTCCAAAATCCCCACGCGAAGATGCGGTTTAGGGTTTAGGGTTTAGGGTTTAAGGTTTAGGGTTTAGGGTTTAAGGTTTAGGGTTTAGGGTTTAGGGCTTAAGGTTTAGGGTTTAGGGTTTGCTTCGAACATCTTTGTGACCTTATGCATTTGCTTCGAACATGACAAAGACCTTTCCACCCTACCGGCTACTATAGGGATTCGTTCCGCTGTTCCCTAGTTATCACCACTAAGTTCCTGTAGAAGCCTAACCGGTATCCCCGTGCAATCCTTGAAAAACACCTGCTGTACAATGTACCCCCAACACCTCATCAGGCCCATACACTGCAGTCCCTATGAACCCTAAACCCCAAACCCTGTAATCCCAATTCCATTTCATTTTCCCTCTGGTTCTCTTAGCAATAGCGATTCCAAGTCCGGCCCCGCTCGCAACAATCCCGCGCGGCTCTAGTGAGGCTTAGGGATTTAGATTTGGAAACGCACGTGAGTGCGTAGCAGTACAAGCATCGGTCTGTAAGACCCCTTCCAGCTGCTCTAGGAATAGACCGTGGAGCTGAAGGGCCACTCAAAACACCTACTAACCACGTCCTCGTAAGAATAAACGCCCCCACCCACTCAATAATTAATAGCCCTAATTACGGCCCAACAGGGTACCATCATATATCATCCGCGGAAGATTGAGTCTTAGCAGATAACAGGTTCATGATTGGGGGCTCTAGAGTCAGCTAGAACTCAGGACTGCCCTAAACACTAAACCCTTAAGCCTCAAATCGTGCGAAATGCCACTTGCTTTGCACCAGTACTGTGTCCTTTCCCAGTTCTGAGAGCCACATAAACCCTCCGCTCAATCTGTGCCATGGTATTCATGGGAGTTTAGTGATCTTGCTCTCACTGAAGCTGTCACTTCGCACAGCTTCTACTCATACAAGCAAGTAGTCTTGTTCCTGCTCCTCCTCTCTCCTGCAGGCTGCTACTACTGTTGCTACCACTACTGCTGCCACTGCTGCTCCTCCTCCTCTACAGGCTTTCTCTAGACTTACAGGAAATGCCTGCGCTTGCTAGAACGTCACCCTCAGGACCAGGCCCCAGCCTCCGCCCCAGACCCTAAATCTGAAACCCATCATGCTCTATCCAAAACTCTAAACCTCTGAACACCCCAAACACTACACTCCAGACCTTGAACTGCTTCAAGCTTTGAAGCCTTAAACTCCTACATGCCTGAAGCATAATCCTTACTATAGGGATGGGGCTGTCCTGGTGGAGCTCTTCAGACTTTCGCACATCCGGTGTCGCCTCGCCGCCGAACTTTCGGGCTCCAGGAAGGAGCTCTGTGCGACAGTCGCTCCAATCCTAGAGTTCATTCCTTAGGGCTTGCTTGCTTGCTTGGTCGTCGGTCCGTGTCTGAATCAGGCGCCTGGTACTACTAGCAATGCGAAAACAACAATCTGTACATAAAGGTCAGAGGCCGCGGTTGGCATCCAGCCAAACCTTACAGGCCGGTGACAGCCATCCACTCAAATTGGCAGGCTCCGCCTGAGCCAATAGGGATGCTGCAAAATCCGCAACGCTGCAGCTAGTCAAGGGCAGCAGTGGGCCATAGAGTCTAGTTGCGGGTAAACCCTGGGCAGGAGGAGGACTAGGGGTACCCCATGCACCTAAGTCCCCTTCAAGAACCTGATGCTCTTCTTGGGCTGCCAGACATTTTGGAGA